GGAGAAAAGGGAAATCTTGTACACTGTTGGTTGGGATATAAATTAGAACAGCAATTATGGATAACTGTGTGGAATTTCCCCAACAAAGTGAAAGCAGAACTACCATATGATCCAGCAATCTTACTTCTGGGTATACATCCAAAGGATTTGAAGTTAGTATGTGATATACACTATGGTGTGCGGAAATGTGGTGTATATATACACAATAGAATACTATTCAGCCTTAAAAAGGAGGGAAATTCTGTCATTTGCAACAACATTGGTGAACCTGGTGGACATTATGCTAAGTGAAAAAAGCCTGGCACAGGAAAACAAATACCACATCTTCTCACTTAAATGTGGAATCTAAAACAATTGAACACATGTAAGCATAGAGCAAAATGCTGGTTACCAGAGGCTGAGGGGTGGGGAAGAAATGGGGAGATGTTGGCCAAAGGTGCAATGTTTCAGTTGGACAGGAGGAATAAGTATTTGAGGTGATGGATATGTTAATTACCTAAATTCACTCATTCCACATTATATATCATAGCATCACTTTGTACCCCATAAATATATGTACTTGTAATTTGTCAATATTCAATAGTATAAATAAAAATTTTTAAACTTTCTGACCATCACAATATTCAAGAAAAATAAAAATGTGTCCTACCAGAAACTTGCACATATTCATAGAAGCATTATTCATAATAACTAAAAACAACCCACTTTCCATCACTTGATGAACTGATAAGCAAAATTTGTTTTATCCGAACATTAGAATATTATTCAGCCATAAAAGACATGAAGTATTGATACAACATAATGAACCTTGAAAACATGCTAATATTTTTAAAAATTATTTTTATTTTTATTTTAGACAGAGTCTTGCTCTGTCACCCAGGCTGGAGTGCAATGGCACAATCTCGGCTCACTGCAACCTCCATCTCCCAGGTTCAAGCAATTCTCCTACTTCAGCCTCCCAAGTAGCTGGGATTACAGGCAGGCACCACCACACCCGGCTAATTTTTTTGTATTTTTAGTAGAGACGGGATTTCACCATATTGGCCAGGCTGGTCTTGAACTCCTGACCCTGTGATCAGCCCGCCTCAGCCTCCCAAAGTGCTAGGATTACAGGTGTGAGCCACCACGCCTGGCCAGATGCTAATATTTTAAAGAAGGCAAACATAAAAGGCCACATATTGTATGATTCCATTCATATGAAACATCCAGAATAAAAATCCATAAAGACAGAAAGTATATTAGTGATTGCCAAGGACTTGGGGCTGAATAAATGGGGAGTGGACTGTCCTAGATATGGGCTTTTTTGGGGAGTGATGAAAATGTTCTGGAACTATCTAGTGGTGATTGTTGCATAACTGTGTGAGTACATTAGAAAGTACTGAATTGAACCTGTTAAAAGGGAAAACTTTATAATATGTGAGTTACTTCTCAACAAAGCTGTTATTTTAAAAATAAAAATTTTCTGCAATATCTCTAAAATAGATATATAACGAAAGAAGCAAGGTGAAGATAGTTTGTTTAGTACCAGGTATATAAAACTAGATAGACATAGATAGTCTATAGATAGAGAGATATAGATAGATTATATAGAGATGTGGGACGGCAACCAACTTTTCATTCTATGCCCTTTTATGTTTTTCATAGTTTGTACTATGTGCAGGTATTATATCTATCATATGTATATTTTTTTCTAGGATCATACTAGAAATAGTTTATCATAACTTTTCACGTTCATCCTTTCTTTCCTGTTAGGAAACAACAATTAGTGACATCTTTGAATCTGAAGTAATGAATGAAGCATTGCCTTTATCAAACTCCAGGTTAGTAAAGTCAAGACAGTCATCTGAGATGAACTCCCAGCCATGCCTGAGAGTCGTAGCTGCCTAACTAGTCCTAGATTGCTGGCTTGAAAAGGTATAGCATTCTGGAGTCATTTACTCTACATGAATTATCTGAATCTTCTTCCAATTCTTCCCCTTCACCCCTACACCCCATAGAATCCTGACTTAAGATAGGAAATAATCTATGAACATAGGTTTAAGGTAAATTTTATTTGGCTTTCTTTGTATAACAGTTGCAAAAAAAAATGAAATTTTATCAATGGCCTATATCCCTGTAACCCCAAACTGCTACCAAGAAACTCTATCTACATCATGTCCTCACACCTGGCTTTTCTTAGTTTTTCAGGAAAAGGTTTGGTAGAGTCATTTGTAAGTCTTCAAGAGACTGAAGTGATTAAGTCAAAAGAAGCAATGGCAAGTTCAGAGTCCCCTGAGAATCTTTTGTGTTCACAGAATTCTGAGGCTGGATACATAAATGTGGCTTCTCTGAAAGAGACACACGGTATACAAGAACAAGACCAAAAGTCAGAGCTATAAAATCACTGTTGCCTAAAGCTATACTGAACAAAATTGCTAACTTAAAGCCTGGACACAAAAGTGGACCATGACATTGAGAAGAGTTACCACAGATCCCAAATGGATGTCAACCAAGTGTCTTCAAAATTGCTGATAAATTCATTAAAGCCATTCTAAAAATGGATTTTTCAAGTTTGTTTGATATCCTCAGATACCTTGTATTGATCAATATATTGACTTTAGTTCAATGATTTATTTAGGTTTCTTTTCAGCAGAGCACATGTATGGTTAATTCGGCATTCTTTCCCATTATTATGGGTATATTTTCGATTTATTTTTTAAGAGTAAAAACAATACAGTCACATTAAAGCAAATATTAAAAAAAAAAAAAACCCTCCTATAATACCACAATCTTAACACAACTATTTTTATTTTACAATTGTTCCCTTTTGGTCATAATTCAAATTCATATATTCTAAATGGGTATTATAATAATATTGTATATTCATTTTCATAGTCTGATTCTTCATTTACCGTATGTATCATGGAAACATTTTCAATAGCTATATGATATTCAATCATGTTGATGTTCTATAATTATTTTTATGGGAAAATTTTTATTTTTATTTATTTATTTTTTTGAGACAGAGTTTCTCGCTCTGTCACCCAGGCTGGAGTGCAGTGGTGCAATCTTGGCTCACTGCAACCTCCTCCTCCCGGATTCAAGCAATTCTCTGCCTCAGCCTCCAAGTGGCTGGGATCACAGGTGCCCACCACCACGCCCAACTAATTTTTGTATTTTTAGTAGAGATGGGGTTTCACCATCTTGGCCAGGCTGGTCTCGAACTCCTGACATCATGATCCACCGCCTTGGCCTCCCAAAGTGCTGCGATGAGCCACAGCGCCCTGCCCTAGGAAAAGTTTTAAACATTTAATTAAAAAGATTTAGAGCAATACATTATTTAAAAGTGGATAGGAAGCCAGGCACGGTGGCTCATGCCTGTAATCACAGCACTTTGGGAGGCCGAGGTGGGCAGATCACCTGAGGTCAGGAGTTTGAGACCAGCCTGGCCAACATGGGGAAACTCCGTCTCTACCAAAAACACAAAAAAAATTAAGCCGGGTGTGGTGGCACCCGCCTGTAGTCCCAGCTACTGGGGAGGCTAAGCTGGAGAATTGCTTGAACCCAAGAGGTGGAGGTTTCAGTGAGCCAAGATTGTGCTACTGCACTGCAGCCTGGGTAACAGAGCAAGACTCCATCTCAAAATATAATAATAATAATAATAATAATAATAGATAGGAAAATACCAAGAGCTTTTTCTGGGGGAAGGGGTATGAGAGTTCACATAACCCTCAGTAAAAAAGAAACTACCCCTAAGTATTTCCAGACAGAACTACAAAGTAGTTGAACAGTCTCCAACTCATCTTTAGTGTAGTGGGACTGCTTCTTCAGAAAAGAACAGCAACATTCACATCCATTTCATCAATCTGGGTGGAATAGTCCTGCTCAGTATCTCTGAGGATGTGGGATGTTCTATAAATTAAACGTTCTCTTGTTTGGCATTTAAGTTTTTTTTTTTTTTTTTTTTTTTTTTTTTTTTTTTTTTTTTTTTTTTTTTTTTTTTNAGTGGCACGATCTTGGCTCACTGCAACCTCCACCTCCCAGGTTCAAGCAATTCTCCTACTTCAGCCTCCCAAGTAGTTGGGACTACAGGCATGCTCTACCACGCCTGGCTAATCTTTTTTTATTTTAGTAGAGATGGGGTTTCACCATATTGGCTAGTATGGTCTCGATCTCCTGACCTGATGATCCACCTGCTTCGGCCTCCCAAAGTGCTGGGATTACAGGCGTGAGCCATCACACCTGGCCAGCATTTAAGTTGTTTTTACTAATTTTTTTTTTTTTTTTTTTTGAGACAGGGTTTCACTCTGTCACCCAGGCTGGATTGCAGTGGCGTGATTACTGCTTATGCAGCCTCAACCTCCCAAGCTTAAGTGATCCTCCCTCCTCAGCCTCTTCCAAGTACAGGCATATGCCACCATGCCTGGCTCATTTTTGTAATTTTTATAAAGATGATATCGTCTTTTATAAAGACGATATCATCTTTATAAAACTCTGTTGCTCAAGCTGGTCTCAAATTCCTGGGCTCAAGTGATCCTCCCATCTCAGTCTCCTAAAGTAACAGGATTATAGATATGAGCCTCTATACCAGGCCTGGTTTTACTTTTTTACTATTTAAGGTTATGCTCTGTTGAAGGTCTTTATGCATGTACTTATTTTCTTTTGAATTAATCCAGAAAACAAATCTGCAAAATTGGACTGGGTCAAAGGATATAAATGTATTGCTCTAGGACATCACTTATTCTGCTTTAAAAAATGGTTGTGCTTGGCCAGGTGCAGTGGCTCACGCCTGTAATCCCAGCAATTTGGGGAGCCGAGGCGGGCAGATCACTTGAGGTCAGGAGTTCAAGACAAGCCTGGTCAACATGGCAAAACCTTGTCCCTATTAAAAGTACAAAAATTAGCTGGGTGTAGTGGTGCACACCTGTAATCCCCGCTACGTGGGAAGCTGAGGCACAAGAATCACCTGAACCTGGGAGGTGGAAGTTGCAGTGAGCTGAGACCACTCCACTGCACTCCAGCCTGGGCAACAAGTGAGACTCTGTCTCAAAAAATAAATAAATAAAAATAAACTAAATAAAAAATAAAAAGGGTTGTGTCAACATAGTGTTTTCATAGCCAAGTTACTCAACCTCGTTGAGGCTCAATTTCATGATTCATAAAATGGGAACAATAATAATTATATATCCCATAGGGTTGTGAGGACCAAATGAAGTATGTAAAGTATTTAGCACTTAGTAACTGCTTAATAAATGCTAGCTATCACCATTTCTTTTCACTAGCAGTTTATCAACATACTTTTTTACAACCTCATCAACATTGGATATTATCAATTTTAAACATTTATTCTAAAACAGTTGGTATAGTCTGGGCATGGTGGCTCGTGCCTGTAATCCTAGCACTTTGGGAGGCCGAGGTGGGTGGATCACCTGAGGTCAGGAGTTCAAGACCAGCCTGGCCATCATGGTGAAACCCCATCTTTATAAAAACAAACAAACAAACAAAAAAACAGTTGGTATAAAATTATACTGAAGGGTGACTGCTGCTGTTCCTTTTCCCCCTCCTCCCCTTTCTTGTTTTTCAGTTGGAGAAGACCAACAGGAGAGGATCAGGAACCTGAAATAAAAATGACCCTTTAAATTGAGATACACTGGATTTTTTTTTTCTTTATTTTTTTCTTATTTTTGTTTTGTGTCTTTTCTTTATATACACTGGATTTTTATATGTAATCCTTGCTTCCTCAGATGACAGAGCTAGAAAAGATGATCAAAGGACATAGGAAATAATAACTGTGATATTGTGCCAGAATTGCTAGCCTTTGCTTTAGTTATTTAGTAATAACTAAAATAAGCAGCCCAGGATAACCAAGATCTGTGTGTAAACAAATGCTTATCTTGACTTCTGTAAACCACTGAAGTAACAAACAGAATGACAAAAGTCCCCTGGCCCTTGGAATGTCTGGAGACCCCCGCCCTCGTCTCCGCCCAGGAGGTGAATCACAGAATCCCCTAGCCCTTGGAATGTCCAAAACCTTTTCATCCCCATCCCCGTTCCTCACCCCCACTCCCAAGGTGGTTTTTCGGGTATAAAAAGTCTTGGCACCCTCCTTTTGACGCCACAGGTTGGAGAGACGTGAGTCCTCTGTGGTCGCCGGCATAATAAATGACCCTGCAATCTGGCATACTTTTTTCTTGGTGCTAACTTTCTATGCTCGGTCCAATACAACATAACTATTATATTAAATGCATGCTGTTATATTGAATGAGCCTTGCCCAAGGTCCCTGTCTTTCACTAAATTCTTTGGAAATATTATATTTATTGAATATCTACTACGTGCTATTCAGTAGGAGACATTGCAGCTACACTGTGAATAGGACCAGGAGTCTCTACTTTCATGGAGTTTATATGCTATTAGGGAGGAAGATATATGTGTGTGTGGCCGGAAATGAGATGTAGACACATACCATACAAAGATAATGTGGAATGGGGGATAGCATGAAGAAAACAAATAAGTGATCTGAATGACCAAGGGCTACTTTAGGTCTAATGTTGCCTCTGAGAAGGTAACATCTGGGCTGAGCCCTGAACTATAAAAACATTACTTCCCAACCAACCAGTTCACCCACCCACCCACCCCCCGCCTTCCTCCGCTAACCCACATTAAGATTTGGAAGGAATATTTAAGACAGAGGTAACAGCTATTACAAGGCCCTAAAGAGAGGAGGGATCTCAGTGACCTAGAGGAACAGACCAGCCAGAGCACAGTAACTAAGGGCAAGTGGCACAAGATGAGGTCAGGTAGATGACAGCTAGATAAATGCACTGTAGGGCTTTGTATGTAAGGAATTGAATTTTATTCTAAATATAGGAAGCCAGGAGTGATTTATAAGCACAAGAGTTATTCTGAAAATAAAAAACTCTATTTGCTCTGTGGGAAATGAATTGGAAATGACAAAACTGGAAGCTTGTGGCAGAACTGAAACATAATCTATTGTACTGACTTCGAGGAAAGAATAAGTTATTTACCTAGCAAGCATTTGCGTGCCAACCTGTTCTAAACGGTGGGGACGAACAAACCAGAGTTCCTGCTTTCATGGTGTGCACACACTAGCGGCAAAAGACAGACACAGCACGTGTGGCAGTGCAGAGGGCTTGGCTGCAAGAGCTGATAAGGAGGACCCTGGGAACTGCCTAATCCAAAAGCCCTAGCTAGAGCAAGATCCATTTGTACTGCCCTTAGTACAGCCACGTGAGTGGGGTGACCATTGACCTTAACCAAAAAGATGTCAAGGTTTTCCTCCTCCTCACTCCAGCGTCCCCAGTCTCAGGGGGAGTTTCGCAGCTGGACCCCAGCAGCCTCAGAACAAACCGCGCCGGGAGACAACTTCCGGGGGCGGGGCCGCTCTTCTTCCGCGTCTACTACGCCTGCTCCCCGGACGAAACCCGCGGACTGGGCTTTAGGTTCCCGGGAATCCCACGCTCCCGACTTCTGCTTCCGGGTCACAGCCATGGCGGTGGCAAATTCAAGCCCTGTTAACCCTGTGGTGTTTTTTGATGTCAGCATTGGCGGTCAGGTGAGATCCAGGAAGCTGCCCACACCTGCGCCGAAGGGAAACTGCTCCGGGCTAGGCAGGCAGAACTCACCCAGAGAGAGCGGACTCGAGAAGCCAGAAAGTGAAATTGCACCCGAACCTACTGACCTGCCGGGAGGGGGGGGGGAAAGGAGGAGGATGAGTCGCCCCAATCCTAGCCCCTTGCTTCTGGAGGGATTGGGCGGAACGAAAGGTTAGGCCAGGGAGGTGGAGGTGGGAGATAACGAGCGGCAGGGTGGTGGGTCAGCCCATCATGCCCCCTGCTCCGTTGAAGCCCTAATGGTCTTTGACTAGGCTTTCTGACAGTCTCCCGCTGATTGCAGGAAGTTGGCCGCATGAAGATCGAGCTCTTTGCAGACGTTGTGCCTAAGACGGCCGAGAACTTTAGGTAAGGACGTAATCCTCTGCTGGATTAGCTGAGGCAGAAGCCGAGCCCCAGTCAGCCGCCTGAATAGCCTGTCTACGTCTGTTCGTCCGCTCACTGCTCTTGAGATCTGATTCCTCCGCGCATTGCCCTGTCTGAATGGTTGCTGTTTTGATTGTTCCCGAGTCAATTTATGTTGTTGTCTGCATGTCTGCGTGTCTGAACGTCTGGCTGGCCGATTGGTGGGCTTGCTGGCTCCAGTGTTTATTCTTTCCGGTCTTTAGAGGAGCTCACAACTGTGATGTCATAGTGATTGAATCGTTCACTTTTTGTCCCTTTTAGGCAGTTCTGCACCGGAGAATTCAGGTCAGTTTCAGACGTGTTTGACTTCTTTGCTTGCTCCAGTGGGGTGTCCTGGGCTGCAGTGAGGGTACAGTGGAACCACCTGCTGGCCTTGAATGATTGCAGGTGACAGTGATAGAAGGTAATACTCCAAGGGTCTATCCCTAGTTGGTTTGCCTTCTTTATGTCTGTCAGCCCTGTTTAGGAGAGTCCTTTTGGCTCCAGTGCATGGTAAACTGGAAGGGCCTTGTGCTATCTGCTATCACTGTAATTCTCTTTCTTTTTGGTTATAGAAAAGATGGCGTTCCAATAGGATACAAAGGAAGCACCTTCCACAGGTAAGGCTTTTGGCAAGCCACCCTGGAGTCTTTCAGAAATACTTCCTGGGGGATTAGGCTCTAATAAAATAAAATTTAAAAAGGAAAATAAAACCAGAGGGTAATTCTTACATTTCTTGAGAAGAAATGTTTTTGTGGACTCAACAACTGAAGATTTATTGAATGTTCTAACTCTACTTATACTCCTCCACTTCTTTTTATGTCTTTAAAACAGAAACTACTTATCTTTACAATATCCTGTCTTTTTCATGCACCTGTTTGTGCGAATGCAGATTTAAAAAAAAATACAGTTGTAATCCTAAAGTGGATATAATATATCCTGCTGGTTGATATTTATAATTCCTAAAATGATCATGTCTGATTGTCCAAGAATAATCATATTTCCTGGGGAGTGGAGTATGGCAACACTGAGTCTCATTTAAATATAGAATCTTTCTCATGGTCTCACTGTGGTTAGTAACAATGTTAGCATGTAATTATATCACAGCTTTAGAGCTGTGGGTCACTAATCCCCAGTAAGACTCCTGTGAAGTGGAAGGTGTTATCTGTAGTCTACAGAGGAGGAAACAGAGGATAAGAAAAGTTAAGGACCCTCCCTAGGGGTAATAGCTAACAGTTATTAAGCTCTGACACGTGTAGCAGTCCATTTCACATAAATTCTCTGTAGTTCTTTCCCCCAAATTTACTTCAAGCCCTTGATCTGCCAGGCAAGTAATGTGGTCATTCTTCCTGCAGGCTTTCAGCCCCTTCTTCTTGTTACTGTTCAGGTACCAGATCGTTCACTTGATCAATTCTAACATGCCCTAGTTTATAACTAAAATCCTTTTTTATGGTTAATTATCCTTTCAGCTTAATCATTCCAGGAAAAGAAAAATCTTTTTTTTTTTTTGAGACAGAGTCCCACTCTGTCACCCAGGCGGGAGTGCAGTGGCATGATCTTGGCTTACTGCAGCCTCTGCCTCCTGGGTTCAAGCAATTTTCCTGCCTCAGCCTCCTGAGTAGCCAGGGCTACAGACATGCACCACCATCCTGGCTAATTTTTGTATTTTTAGTAGAGAAGGGGTTTCGCCATGTTGGCCAGGCTGGTCTTGAACTCCTGGCCTCATGATCTGCCCGCCTTGGCCTCCCAAATTGCTGGTATTATAGGCGTGAGCCTCTGTGCCCAGCTAAGAATAATCATTTTATAAGCCAAAGTGATAGTGTTTTTTGAAATCAATGTTAATCTAATAATAACAAAGTCAATGTGTTTCTAAACCATAAAATCTCTCAGTATTCTTTGCTCTCTGTTTCAGGGTCATAAAGGATTTCATGATTCAGGGTGGAGATTTTGTTAATGTAAGTATTATTCCTTTCCAATCAAAGACCTACAGTTTTAGTTTTTGTTGTTATTGTTACAGCTGCTGTTTTTACTATAGTGACCTAGTCTTAAGGCCTGAGGACAATAGCCAAGTTTGATGGGGGTGTTGATCACCTGACAGATACCTACAGGGCCTGAGAACAATAGCCAAGTTTGATGAGAATGGTGATGGGGAACTTCTTGAAAGTGGCTGGGTACCACAGACTCTAGATAACAGACTTTAGCACTTTGATTGGGACATTAACTTCTATGGTCCAAATCTCAGCCTTTTTGAGCCAGAAATTGGACTTTTTAAGAATAGCTACAGATGATCTATGATAGGCCTGCACTAATTAGTCATATGAAACTTAATTGGAAATCAGCCATGGTTTGTTTTTGTTTTTGCTTTTTCTGAGTGGAGGTAAGTCTCCTTTTAGAGGGCTAAATGCTTGTCTCATTTTCTCTTTTACTTCTGGTGTCACAGTACCTGGAAAACTAGGGTTTCCATAAGAAGTTGATTCATGGGCAAGAAATCAGAGCAAGAGAGGGAGATAGTTCTGGAGGAATTTTGTTCTATTCACTTGGAGAGCCCAGTGAAATAGTTCTTTCTTGCTAACCATGACTTTCTTGTAAGTAGACTGTGTTCTCCATATGAAGCCTCCCTCCCCACCCCAACCTTGGAGGGTACAGGATAAACTACATTTTTTCTTTCTTAAACCTGCTTTTGTCCTTACCTACCCACTTCTGTGCATGGGCTTTCTTTACTCTTATTAATATCATTTGGTTAGTTGTGTTGCTATTTTCTTGGATCTGGGAGACATTTATTATCTTTTATGTGTTTGTTTAGTTTGGCTCTCATGAGTTTTTAAGACCTTTCCTATGCAATACAGGGTTGCAGAGTGGCAGGTTTTAGGCTGAATTATGCTTTTACATATGTTTTGTTTCATCTGCATCGTGGTGTATAACTGAAATGGCACAAAAAAATCCTAGAGTTTTGTGTTCTCTGTAAAAAATGGAAAGTGGAGGTACATTGGGCCTGCATTTCTCACAGTGGCACTGACAGTGACAGTTGGTTGGAATCAAGGAACTGGTCCCTTTGCACATGGCATATCTTTGCCATTTCACCACAGACTCCACACCTGTTTCCCTTATTTATGTTGCCTACCCCTCTAGGCATTTGTTTGCAACCGCTGGAAACAAATAATGGTAGTGGGGTTTGTTAGCTGGTAAGAAGGGCAGAGAAGCTATCCTCTGCCTTCTTTCCATTTTTTCCCCCCTAGGTTCCCCTGTTGCCTTACAAGGAGAGGATAGCTTGTTACTAGACTTTGCCCCAGGCACATCTGATCACTTGTTGATAACTCTAGAGTTAGACAATAGTTGCTCAGTCTGAAAGCGGGAGTTAAAAGCAATTGCTGACAGGGCTTACATCTGTAATCCCAGTACCTTGGGATGCTGGGAGGATTGCTTGATCCCAGGAGTTTGAGACCAGCCTGGCAACATAATAAGACCCTGTCTTTATAAAAATAAAAAAACTTACTTTTTATTTTTTTATTTTTGGTGATGTGCACCTGTGGTCCCAGCTACATGGGAGGGTGAGGTAGGACGATCCCTTGAGCCCAGGAAGTTCATTTCATGAACATGGCTGCAGTGAGCCATGTTCATGCCACTGTACTCTAGCCTGGGCGACAGAGTGAGACATTGTCTAAAGAGGGGGAAAAAAAAGCTTGCTTAGAACCTTCCTTGGGGAAGGCAAAGTGGAATGAGCAAGAACCAGAAAAATCGGAATTTGACACCTTCCAAAGTTGGACCAAGCATATTTGTTTTATTCATTTATTTTTGGTTTTAATTGTATTTATTATTTTGGTTGCAAAAGAAAAGTGCAAAGAAGAAAATTAATCACTAAATGAATTACCCTCAATCTCACCTTACAAGGAATATACGATTGGCATTTTGGTTTACAGCTGTCAGTCTTACCTTAGTTTGTATATGTGTGTTTACATAATTTTTAATCAGACTTAAAATCATCTATATGTTTTACTTTTTTTGTAATTCATAATTGTCCATACTTTCCCTTGTCATTGTCTTCTAAAACATGCTTTCTAATAGCCACCTAATATTTCATTATGAATAGACAAGTTATTTGATCAATTCACTGTAGTTGAAGATAAGTTGCTTTCTATTGTTTGCTCCAAATTATTGATTTTATAATTTTCCCTATTTCTGGAGAGCTGTACATAGTGTGATATTGGAGAATGGCGTGGTAACTGATGTGTCCCTTAGGTTCACTGGGAAGTTGGAGATGAACTTATTTTCTCTCTTCCTTCTGTATTAATATGTATGTGGAGTTAGTTAATGACATAATAGCTTATTTGATTATTTAGTGCTACATTGTTTGCAAAGTGCTTTTTACAGGTACTATCTAATTGAATCTTCATGATAACTGTAAAGAGTACCTAAGTTCGTCCTCACTTGAGAGATGAGGAAATTGAGGCTCACAGATAAGAAGGGACTTTCCCAGCTCGTAAGTGATAGATCTCGAACTCAAATGCAGGTCTTTCTTATTTTAAAATTTTCTTTCTTTTCCTTTTTTTTTTTTGAGACAGAGTCTTGCTCTGTTGCCTAGGCTGGAGTGCAGTGGCGCGATCTCGGCTCATTGCAACCTCTACCTCCCAGGTGGGTTCAAGCTATTCTCGTGCCTCAGCCTCCCAAGTAACTGGGATTACAGGCAACCGTCACCACACGGGGCTAATTTTTGTATTTTTAGTAGAGACAGGGTTTCACCATGTTGGCCAGGCTAGTCTTGAACTCCTGACCTCAGGTGAGCCACTGTGCCAGGCCAGGTCTTTCTAATATACACACTTGATTTTATTTGATAATATTTAGCCAAACAAAGGTTTGAATTTGGACAGTTTCTCTTTTTTCTCTGACTTATATTAATCCCTTTGGTAGTCTTTGTCCCACAGAGGGACACCCTTTATTCTCCACTGGGTCAGTGTTTTCCCTTTTGCCCATGCGCTGTTTCTCTTTACTAACTGGCTAGGAGAGGTTGATCTTTTTGGCACTCCTCAATATTGCCTTTAAACCTCAGGGATTCTATTTAAGGTAATGCAAATATGGCCTTGGTCAGTTGTTTTATTACCCAGACTTCAGTTTCCTCACATGAAAAATGGGGAAGATGATAATGCTTATTCCTCAAGGTTGTTGGAAAAGCAAAGAGATAATGCAGATAAAGCTAGTTTAAGCAGAAATTGGGAGTTTATAATAAAGGGAGTGTTTCATGGAACTAACGGAAGACATAGAACTAGGAACTAGAACCACAGAGAACCAAGGCAGTTCTTTATCTCTGTTTCTCTAGTGCTTGCCACACATCTGTGTTGTGTTCTCTTTCTGTTCTCTAGCCCACCTTGCAGATGATAGTGGCATCCAGCTTTCAGGTTTACATGCTACAAATTTAGCCTCAAAGAGAGCATCTATCCCACTTCCAGATTCCCAGAGAAGGAACTCTAGTTGGCCCAGTGTGAATTAGGCATCCTTCCCTGAATCAATCAACTTTGACCAGGAGGGTGGTATCATGTTGTACAAACAGACTGCCAAGAGCTCACTCACCCTCTTAGATAGTCTGGGGGAATGGGGTGGTAGTCACTTAAGTGGGTAGTTTTATGTGACTGCAGGCATGAGAGTCTTTGGGAATGACAAGGATTGAGTATGTGATTACCTTGTTGCTGTTCCCTACTTTGTCTATGTCTTAACTGATCTTTCTAGAGGCCCAGCTGTGACCTGTTGTATCTAATCTGTACATGCTGTAGCCAGACTTTGTTGGCTGTAGGTATCTTGTATAAGACTTGCTTTGATTGCAGGGTGGGGTCAAATAGGCGCAGCTTCCAAGATGACCAAAAAGATTAAGAGTAGACTTTAAAGATGCCAGGCGTTAGGTGCGACAGTGTTCTTCCCCTGGTTTCCAGGGACCCAGTACTCCAAGTCACGAATACTTCCCTTCTCTCTGCTCAGGGCGATGGTACTGGAGTTGCCAGTATTTACCGGGGGCCATTTGCAGATGAAAATTTTAAACTTAGACACTCAGCTCCAGGCCTGCTTTCCATGGTAAGTGAAATCCAATCAAGATTTTGGGTTATAGCCAGCTGGTTTCTGGGCCCCACTTGAGGCCCAGTGCTGTCTCTTGGGATGGAAGCAAATGCTTTCCTTCTCTTGCTTGGCCCAGGACTTACCTCTACCACCTCCTTTCTCAGTTTGGTTTGATTGAGAAAACCAGTAGGTAAGCTGGGACGGTGGCTCATGCCTATAAGCCCAGCACTTTGGGAGGCTGAGGGGGGTTGATAACCTGAGGTCAGGAGTTTGAGACCAGCCTGGCCAACATGGTGAAACCTCGTCTCTACTAAAAATACAAAAAATTAGCCAGGTGTGGTCACAGATGCCTGTAATCCCAGCTACTTGGGAGGCTGAGGCAGAAGAATCACTTGAACCCAGGAGGTGGAGGTTGCAGTGAGCTGAGATGGCACCACTGCACTCCAGCCTGGGTGACAAGAGTGAAACTCCATCTTAAAAAAAGAAGAAAAAAGAAAAGAAAACCAGTAGGTAAGGCCCACTAGCAGGCTAACAGGCTGGGGAACTAAAATCTGAACCAGGATTTGTGACTGGGCATTCAGCCCTACTGCTCAGAATGTAACCACTTGTGCTTTTAAGACACACATATTCATAGCTGGGTGTGCTGGCTCACACCTGTGATCCCACCACTTTGGGAGGCCAAGGCAAGAGGATTGCTTGAGGTCAGGAGTTTGAAGCCAGTCTGGGTAACATAGTGAGACTTAATCTCTACTAAAAAAAAAAAATTAGCCACATGTGATGACACATACCTGTAGTCCCAGCTACTAGGGAGGCTAAGGTGGGGAGGATTGCTTGAGCCCAGGAGTTTGAGGCTGCAGTGAGCCATGTCCTGTTCATCTCTGTATTCTTGGATCCTAGCTTAGGCCCTGGCTCATAGATAGGTGCTAAGTTAGATTTGCTGAAAAAAAGCATAGAGGAATCAGGGTTACAGGCTCTTTGAATCTTGCCCTTCAGCTAACATGGCCAGGGAAACCTAACTGCAGGTATATTTGGTTTCTATCAGGCAAACAGTGGTCCCAGTACAAATGGCTGTCAGTTCTTTATCACCTGCTCTAAGTGCGATTGGTTGGATGGGAAGCATGTGGTGTTTGGTAAGTCCTACTCCTGTCCCGTGGTCCCGGCCCCATTCACCTCAGATGGGACCTCCAGAGGAGTTAGTTCTCAACTCTTACCAAGAATGCTCAACTCGTGTAACTGCTTGGGTGGTAATAGAGAAAACAGAAATGGTGGGGAGGTGGGGAACATGTATGGCTAGAGAACTAGACGTAATGACAAAAGGGTCATTTGATGTAGTATGGAACCACTTGGGGGGAAAACCCAGTTGCTAGCATTAAAGAAATGCCACAGAGGCAGCATGATATGGTGAGACTTCGGAGTTACTCAGATATAAGTTTGAGCCCTAACTCTCTACTTATTACCTTGAGCAAGTCATTTCACCTCTACCACATCTCAATTTTCTAAAGTTGGTAAGAGGGTCTAATAAGATCATAGCTAAGAATGGGCTCTGGAAGCTGGAAAATGCTATGTAAACAAGAGTAAAGTCCAGTTCATACTCTTCCTACAGGAAAAATCATCGATGGACTTCTAGTGATGAGAAAGATTGAGGTAAGTACTGCTTTGATTTTTCTCTTTCTCTGCCATTCTGGTCTGGTACTGTCTGACTAGTGTCCAGGAGCTAGAGAAGGGGGAATGAGCTCCAGTTTGTTAGGCCCAGTCTTCATTGTCTCAGGAAAACTGAGGAGAGACTGCATAAGTTAGCCTGTCTGGCCAACACTGAGGTTTGACCTCTGATGACCCTGTTGCCTATTTGATAAAATTCTACTCCTTGGCATTGCATTCAAGGTCCTTCATGATTAGTCCCTGTCTGCCTTTGACCCCTTCTCTTGCTACTGCCTCTTCCTTATTCCAGTCACATCAGGCTACTAGCTCTTCTCTAAATCTGTCATACATATCCCTGCCGCTTGCTCTTTCCTGCCCCTGAGCCTTTGCTCACACTGGTCACTCTAGCTGAAATGCTGTTTTTTCCTTCCCTCCTGGTGGAATCCCAACCTTCTAGGCACAGTTCAAATACCCCTCTTTTGTGAATCTTTCCCTGACCTCTTTAAGCAGCAATTTAGTTGCCCGTCTACCCCTTATCCAACTCTTTCTTATAACTTTTTGTTATATTATCATAGATTTGATATTTTCTAGGTGTTTTCCATCTTCTCTTTGATAGATATTATATGCTTTACCTGTCTGCCAGGACATGGATTGCCTCTGAGTGCTGAGTCCCTAGCACAGGGGCTGGCAGGCATCAGTAAAAGTTTGGTAAAAGAACAAGCAAGTGCCTGAGTGGATGAATATCCATTGTGCTTTTTTTCCTAGAATGTTCCCACAGGCCCCAACAATAAGCCCAAGCTACCTGTGGTGATCTCACAGTGTGGGGAGATGTAGCCCAGACCAAGACTGATTCAGGTAAGTGAGTCTTTCTCCTATTAGGTTAGGAGTCAGATTCCAGAGAAGGCAGCATGGTCTAGTGGAAAGAAATTTAGTCTTGAAGACATGAGATTGAGCACAGTTCCTCTGTGTGTGACCTTAGAGTAGCCACTTTCCTTCTCAGAGCATCTTTCTTCATCTGTCAAATGGAAATAATGTAATACCTATCTCTCAGAGTCATTTTAAAAATCAAAAGAGAAAGGGTTGTAGGACCACTTTACTTTTCTTCCACTTTGTAATATACAGAGTATCAATCTGAAAACCACTCAGGCAGTTTCTAACAGCACTCTTAGACTACAGTTCCATTCAGTAGTCCCCCTAGAAAGACCTGGCTCCAGACCTGAGTAACTCTCTGCTGGGACCAACCTGGGCAGCCCGGAGACACACCTGTCATGCCTCTCATCAGAACTGATACTGCAATTCCAGGCCTTGACTTCATATTTGCCAGCCTTGTAGGTGAATGCCTCACATCGTCCAGCCTATGTGGACTCATTTCTTACCCATATTTACTACTGCCTGCTCTGCACTGGGCAGCATGCTAGCTGCAGAGAGGGGGACAAGGAATTGAAAGATGTCTCCTTTTAGGAGCTCAGGGAAAATAAGACATTCTCAGAGGTGATCACTAGTAATATGAGTGACATTGCCAAGTGTGAGAAGAGTACCAGGGAGAAATCCATCCCCTCCAGCTAGGTGAGGTGTAATGTTGTTTTGTTTTTTTCTCTTTTTTTTATTTTCAAACCTGCAAAAAAGTTAGAAGAATAATACCTTGAACACCCATATATCTTCACTTAAATTTACCAGTGATCAACATTCTTGTTTTATTGTTTTGCCTTGATATTTGTTTTTTTCTTTCCCTTCTTGCCTCCTCACGCATTTCCATTGCCTCCCCTCCTCTCTCCTGCTCCTCTTTCCTCTCTCCAGGCTTTCCTTTCTTTCCTCCTTTCTTCCCATCTTTTTTCCTTTATCCTTTCTTCTTATCTTTCCCATTTGAAAGTTGCAGACTTCTTGACACTTTACCCGTGAGTATTTCAGCAAGGAACTCCTAAAAATAAGAACATCCTACGTAACCACAACATTATATATAGTACATTTTCAAACTTCCCCAATTGTCCCAAAAGTAACTTTTATAGCTTAAAAAAAGGTAATCCAATCGAGGGTCCCGTATTTCATTTGGTTTACCCAAGTAACATAATACACTCTCATTGTGAAAACTTTCACACCAAACAGATAAAGTGAAAGCCCCTCTTGACAACACCCCACCTCCAACTCCACTCCCCACTCCAAAGGTCACTTCTTTTTTTTTCCTTTTTTAACCCTGCAGAAAAACAGAGGTCACTTCTTTATCAGTCTGATGTATGTCCATCAGGGCCTTTGCCTTGCCCATGTAATTTGGGGAGGTTTTCTTTTTCCCAAATGAAATCATACTATATTTTTCATTTTCTAAAAAATTATATATTAAAAACTTCTCCTTCTTAGTATGTAAAACCACCTTGTATTAAAACCACCTTGTATTAAAAAATGAAAATAGCCTGTCATGGTGGCTCACTCCTGTAATCCCAGCACTTTGGGAGGCCAAGGAAGGCGGATAGCTGGAGCTCAGGAGTTGGAGACCATCCTGGGCAACCTGGCGAAACCTCGTCTTAAAAAAAATTAGCCAAGCGTGGTGGTGCAAGCCTGTAGTCCCAGCTACTCAGGAGGCTGAGGTGAGAGGATTACTTGAGCCCTGGAGTTTGAGGCTGCAGTGAGTTATGATGGCGCCACTATACTCCAGCCTGGGTGACAGGATGAGACCCCATTTCAAAAAAAAAAAAAGAAAAATCAAAACTTCAATGCAGGCTGAGAATCCCTAATCCGAAATCCCAAATGCTCCAAAATCTGAAACTGTTTGAGCACTAACATGACATCAGAAGTGGAAAATTCCACACCTGACCTCATGTCATGGGTCATTGTCAAAAATTTGTTTCATGCACAAAAGTATTAAAAATATTGTATAAGATTACCTTATATGGCCGGGCGTGGTGGCTCAAGCCTGTAATCCCAGCACTTTGGGAGGCCAAGGCGGGTGGATCACAAGGTCAAGAGATCGAGACCATCCTGGTCAACATGGTGAAACCCCGTCTCTACTAAA